CAAAAAAGATAATGAGATCCTGCAAAAACACTTTTAGTTGCTGTTAGAAGCAGAAAATAGGAAATCCATATTACCAGAAAATACTGAAAAGAAAACTGAACTGTGCAATTCGCCGATATTCTCTAACACACTAAGTGGAATGTGATGAATCCTGAAAGTGAATGAAGTTAATTCTGAAAGGTGAGCCCTCCAAACTGGGGAGGTTTTAACAGAAGACTGTTAAACAAGAAAAGCCACCAATGGCTAGATGCACATCTCTCATGATCCTGTATACATTTCATTTTCAAAGTATCTGTTTTAGCAGAGGGCACCTTTCCTTAGTGATTAATTTACTAGATTATTAGACTCCAATTAGATATCTATTGTTAAATAGAAGTAGATCAATTGTCTTTCCTAACATGGATTGCACTGAAAAAAGATCACAAAATTTCTAATTAGGATATTCAAACTCCAATCCTAATTCTGCCATTTGAGGAACCTCTTACTCATCCTAATCTCTTTCTCAGAGACCTCCTTTCACCTAAATGGTGTTTTTATATTTATTATAGTCTTATATTGTACCATGAAATTCTCTTTGGCAGTGTCTTGCAAATTTATACATTTATGGTTGTCTATTTAGTATATGCCTTCCCCGCTGGACTATATGCTAGCTCTGTGAAGTCAGGGAGCTCATATCATCATTTCCTACAAAGAAGCTACTACCTAGAAGGTAATCAATAAAAACTTACTGCCTACCTCCCTGGCAAATGGCAAACACAATTCTTCAAATTTAGTCTACCAACTTCACAGAATCATGACAGTCCAACAGATACATAAGGACACTTCAAAAATTTTTATTTTTCATATATGAAGGATTTTGGAATACATCAAATAATCCCTGATATATTAATGTGATTTTTAAAAAGATTTATATATTTACTTATTTATTTTTAAAGATTTATTTATTTATTTGAAAGCCAGAGTTACAGTGAGAGAGGAAGGGGGAGGAGAGCAAGCGAGCTGGGTTAGACCAGGATGAAGCCAGAAGCCATGAGCTTCTTCCAGGTCTCCCACATGGGTGGCGGGGGCCCAGGCATTTGGACCATCTTCTGCTGCTTTTCCTAGGCCATTATCAGAGAGATGATCAGAAATGGAGCACCCAAAACTCCAACCACCACTCATACTGGATGCCTACATTGCAGGTGGTGGCTTTACAGGCTATACCAAAATCCCAGCTTCTAATGTGATTATTTAATGATCACTCTTAATTCTAGTAGTATTACTATTATTACAACCAACCTTCTGTATCTGTAGATCCAACCAACAAAAGATTTAAAATATTTTTAAAGCACTACACTTATCTATCCTGAACATGCTCAAAAATTTTGGTATTATTATTCTCTAAACTATACAATATAACAATTATTTACATAAAATTTATAGTGTATTAGGAATTATCAGAAATCTGGAGATGATATAAAGTATATAGAAGAAAATGTGTAGGTTAATTATAATTATAATGTCATTTTATATAAAGGACTTGAGCAGCTGTAACTATGCTGTCTCTGGGGAATCCTAGAGCCCATCTGCCATGGATAACAAGCGATGACTATATTTATTTTCCATAGAATCTTTTAATTACTATTTTAATTGTTGACTCCAGGAAATTTGAGAACTTACTTTATTTTTAAAGGTTTATTTATTTACTTGAAAGTCAGAGCTACACAGAGAAAGAGAGGCAGAGAGAGAGAGAGAGAGAGAACTTGAACCAGCACCCATATGGGATGCCTGCACTGAAGGCAGCAGCTTTACCCACTATGCCACAGTACCAGCCCCAATAACTAACTTTATTTATTTATTTTTTGCCTTTTGTTAAAATTTTAATAAATATAAATTTCCAAAGTACAGCTTTTGGATTACAGTGGCTTTTTCCCCCCATAACCTCCCTCCCACCCGCAACCCTCCCATCTCCCGTTCCCTCTCCCATCCCATTCACATCAAGATTCGTTTTCAATTATCTTTATATACAGAAGATCAATTTAGTATATATTAAGTAAATATTTCAACAGTTTGCACCCACACAGAAACACAAAGTGTAAAATACTGTTTGAGTACTAGTTATAGCATTAATTCACATTGGACAACACGTTAAGGACAGAGATCCTACATGGGGAATAAGTGCACAGTGACTCCTGTTGCTGATTCAACAATTGACACTCTTGGCCTGCGCCGCGGCTCAACAGGCTAATCCTCCGCCTTGCGGCGACAGCACACCGGGTTCTAGTCCCGGCTGGGGCACCGGATTCTGTCCCGGTTGCCCCTCTTCCAGGCCAGCTCTCTGCTGTGGCCAGGGAAGGCAGTGGAGGATGGCCCAAGTGCTTGGTCCCTGCACCCCATGGGAGACCAGGAGAAGTACCTGGCTCCTGTCATCAGATCAGCGTGGTGCGCCGGCCGCGGCGGCCATTGGAGGGTGAACCAAGGGCAAAAAGGAAGACCTTTCTCTCTGTCTCTCTCTCATTGTCCACTCTGCCTGTCAAAAAACAAACAAACAAACAAACAATTGACACTCTTGTTTATGGCGTCAGTAATCACCAGAGGCTCTTGTCATGAGTTGCCAAGGTGATGGAAGCCTTTTGAGTTTGCCAACTCCAATCTTATTTAGACAAGGTCATAGTCAAAATGGAAGTTCTCTCCTCCCTTCAGAGAAAGGTACCTCCTTCTTTGATGGCCCGTCCAAAAACTTACTTTAAACATTACTAGATTTACTAAGGTAGACTGAACATTTTTAATTACAAAATACTGGCAATGAAAGTTATTTCAAAGGTTACTGCAATTCACCACTTTCTGCCTCAAGCACTATAATTAATGGATTCTCTTACGAATTTCTTTTGTAATGAGTGACTTTTGCCATCTCATAAAGGAGTAAATGAGTTTCTGAATATGAGGACATACAAGAGGTTCTTCAACATTAGCCATCGCTGAAAGTACTGCAGGCTGACCCAGACTTTGTGTCTGGTTGACCTAACACCTCCATTGATTCATATACGTGTCAAAGGATCCGTCCATCTACCCATCCAACAGATATTCAGTAAGCAATGTGCTTAGTGTTTTAGCATACAAAGAAATTGAGAGGGCATTAGAAGCCACGGCTTAGGTCCTATAGTATTATGTACTTACAGAATACAGCTCTTGCAGCCCTATATTTTTTGGTGACTTGTGTATTTGGAAGAGAATAAAGTTGTGTGGTTTTAAGCCACTGAGTTTGTTAAAGCAAAATATCTATCTAAAATATCAAACTAATAATGTGTCAGAAGGAAACAAAAGAAGTCAACACAGTGGTTTATTTCATTACTTTGTTTTACCAAAGCCTCTTTAACATGACTATAAAATATACAGAGATTCTGTACTGAATAAATGCCTTCCAAAGCCTGCAATATGCAAAATGAAGACTTTTAAATGACATTCACCATTTAATTAATATACATTTGACAACACTGGGTCTCCTGTGCAGTCACCCAAAATACAAATGCTTTGGATACAAGGAAAAAATTCTGTTTCCAATATGAGCTGAGTAAGTATTTGTTGGTGACAATGTACATCAAAAATCCATGAGAGTATTTTTAATAATAAAACAAATTTGGGGATATTTGGATACTTTTGTAAGTATATTTGATGCAATCTGTCTTATGGTATTGATAATAACAAACCTAATATTTATGTAGCATTTCACAAAGTGCCTCATATACCTGTCGTGAGTGATCCAACAATTCTGGGAAGTGAGAATTTTATTGTTACTTACATTTTTTTAATTTATTTGAGGCAAAATTTGCTTCCCAGGATGGATATTCACTAAAAGGAAGCTGTTGGCCCACGCCGCAGCTCAATAGGCTAATCCTCCACGTAACGGTGCTGGCACACCGGGTTCTAGTCCCAGTCGGGGCACTGGATTCTGTCCCGGTTGCCCCTCTTCCAGGACAGCTCTCTGCTGTGGCATGGGAGTGCGGTGGAGGATGGCCCAAGTGCTTGGTCCCTGCACCCCATGGGAGACCAGGAGAAGCACCTGGCTCCTGCCTTCGGATAGGCGCGGTGCACCGGCCACGGCGGCCATTGGAGGGTGGACCAACGGCAAAGGAAGACCTTTCTCTCTGTCTCTCTCACTGTCCACTATGGCTGAAAAAAAAAAAAAAAAAGGAAGATGTTAAGTGGACGTGGAGCCAGGACTTAAACCCAGGCACTCTGATATAAGATGCAGGCATCCCAAGTGGCATCATAACCACTGTGCTAAACACATGTTCTTGTCTCTGTAATTTTTATTTTATTCATGAAAGGCCTAAATTCAGCCAGCTGCCTTCTCAAATGTCATCCAGCTATGAATGACAGATCAGTGAGAAAAAAATCCCTTATTCATTTCCAAATTATCATTTGAGACTGTGCTTTTTCTAATACATTAAATAAAGTAATTTGTTGTAGATAATTGCATAAATTTTTATCAATACAGATGTTCTTTGGAGAATTTAATGTTGAGCATTCTATGTTCTAGTCATCAGGTATGCAACAGTGAAAAGGATGCAACCTTTACCTTTAGGAAGTCCACTGGGTAGCAGAAGAAACAAATGAATAGGCGATCATTTACCTGAAACGTTGATGGGAGCTGTGATAGAGTAAGAATTATGTCAGGGGACAGAAACTATTGTGTAACTGGGGACATTAGGGAGGACTTCTTAAATGTGGTAACTCATCTGTCAACGGGAGCTGAGCCAGTTAGCAAGGGTGATGCAGGACGAGGGCAAGGTATTGCAGGAAGAAGAAACAAAGCAGGCTGGGAACAGGTGTCCAAGCATGGTTCAGTTGAGTAGAATTGTCTCCAAGTGCACCCTGGGGAGCACCCCTACTTTTCAGCAGATTCTACCCTGATACCAGCAATACAGCACTCAGTCTTCTGGTCTAGGAGGCCACATAGAAAAGGAAGTTTTGTGGGTTTTTTTTTATGTTTGTTTTTGATTTAAATTTTCTTTTTTCAGGAAATCAACAGACGTTTATGGTGTCAAAATGCTCATTTGTTCACTTTATAACCCAAAGGCCTGCTTCTGGTTTACTTCAAGAACCCCTAAAGGACTCCAGACTTTGCATACTGTGAATAAATTCCTATTCAGTCTTGCCTGTGATGTTCCTCTTCTGAACCTTGCCATTCTTACCTTTTCTAAGATAACTTTCCTTTGACTTATGTTCTCTTCAAGCTTAGTGTTATTTCGTATGTGCTTGGTTCATCCCCTTGAGCAAAGATCAGATGTGATAAGATTATTTTAACAGATCATTAGTTTATCATTTTGTAAATTGTTTAACTGGAAGTAACAAGCCTAGATTCTATAAAACATTCTGGCAACCTAGAAATGCAAAACTAAATCAAAGCATGTTACGTTAAATAAAAATTAATTTAAGTTACTTGGTGCAACCAGTCTTTAACAATGTATGTACACCTCTGTGTGTGATGGGTGTCATTGATTTTTTAAATGATTTTTATTATTTTGCTTGATGGAAGATTATTAAAACAAAGTCAGCATTCAGTAACAACACTTGGCTTTTGAGAAGACTTTTTCCCTGAATCAACTAGATCAGCAGAACTACTGTACAATTTGTATTACACGTTAAGAAACTCCAAATTCCAGTGCTGAGGATTCCATTCACTGAGGTGTAATGCAAGTGTGTAGATATAGAAGAAATCCACCACATAGTGTAACTATTTTCTCAGAAATTGTAAGCCTAACAAGATGGCCTATGACTGGTCCCAGGCTGGTGGAAAAAGGGGAGAAAATAGCTATCAAAAGGGAAACATGCACAAGCCAGCATTAACTTGTCTATGAGCCAACTATTCTACATTAAAGAGGGTCGATAGAAGATGCTTTATGAGAGGACTTCAATTGACTTTGATTCAATTTGAAAATAACTCATGGTATTAACTTCTTACTAAGAATTATACCCTCAGGACAGAAGAGTGGAGATTACATTTATTTCATGGGCAAGTTTTTTTTTTTAAGATTTTATTTATTTATTTATTTGAGAGGTAGAGTTACAGACAGTGAGAGGGAGAGACAGAGAGAAAGATCTTCCTTCTGTTGGTTCACACCCCAAATGGCCACAACAGTCGAAGTTGTGCTGATCCGAAGCCAGGAGCCAGGTGCTTCTTCTTGGTCTCCCATGCGGGTGCAGGGGCCAAGGACTTGGGCCATCCTCCACTGCCTTCCCAGGCTACAGCAGAGAACGGGACTGGAGGACGAGCAACCGGGACTAGAACCAGTGTGCATATGGGATGCTGGTGCCGCAGACCGAGGATTAACCTACAGTGCCACGGTGCCGGCCTTTCATGGGCAATTTTTAAAACTATATAATTTAACAATGTAGAATTGTTTAATTTTTAATATTCAAAATAACAAAGAATGAAATCATAGTGTGTATAGATTTGCTATGGATGAAGGGTTTCCTTGCCTGTATTCCTTAAAATATTATTTTTGGGAGTTATCACCAAAAAAAAAGAGGACATCTGTAATTGTATCATCATATATTAAAAAGGCTGGGAGAGCAAATGATACCAAAAAAAAAAAGCCATGAAATGTCTATGTGCTACTTTTTTCTACTTAATGGTAGTGTCCCTAAAATATACAGTATTTATTTCAGTACCTAAGCTATTTAAATATTCCATTAAAATATTTGGAAGAAAAACACTAGCTCTATAATTTAGTACAAAAGTAACTAATAATATATGAAAATTGGCATATCAAAAATAATTATAGCATGAGACAATTGCTTATTGGAGATAATATTTTAATAGTTACATTAAATGGCCAGATTTTCTGCTTGCTAGGTCAAATAAGATGAGTCCAATTAATGTAACACTGTTAGTCTCTTATACAAGTAAAGGCTTATGTATTTAAGAAGATATAGGATGGATAATAAAGCAGGCACCAACCTAAGTGGATCTAAGCACATAGTAAAAGCTACGTTTTTCATGGCAGGGGAAAAGAAGACATTTTATCAATAGAAAAAAGGCTACATAATAGTTTATAAATTACAAGAGGGAAAACCCAAGGTCTAGGAATGAATTCTCTGTCCAGTAGTGAAATGTGAAACAAAGAAAATAAAATTGTTATCACCTCTCAGGGAGCAATAACCAGTAATTTATCCCAAGAGCTCTAAATATTCAAAATGTTCAACAGGGGCAGGGAACTAAAAGCAACACAGAGACAAGTGTAATAGTTTCAGGGTATCACATTTTGTTTTACTGACTTTCCCAAAAGTTTCAATGGAAAATGAATTGGTTGCTGATACTGGGAACACTTAAGTATGACTCTGGCTGAAACAGTTACACAATGTGGGCTTCCATTACAGGAGATACAAGGAGTTTGATTGTGTGACTCCAAACTCTCTTTTCCTCTAGTGCCCTATGCTTCTCTTTTTCATTATTTCAGTGCCAGAGTTCTCAGTCCAATTACGTGAAGAGGGAAGTACCATCTCCTTGAAACTGGGTTGGACCAGCAGATCTAGTCCAGAGATGAAATGGAAGAAACATCACCTATTGGTGCTGTGATCACTGCAAGAAGGCCTTTGAAAACATATAGTGTCCCAAACTCAATCTCAAGAGCAGTCAGAAGTGACCTTATTTTAAGTGGCTAATAGTCACACCTATCATTCTGTAGTTTAGATTCAAGAGAGATTTTTTAGATCACAGCAAGAAAACTTAACCAAACGTTGAGAGTAAAGCCCTTGTTATGGAGCACATACAGTGCTTTACAAAACCAAATGATTGGCTGCCATGACACCTTTTGTATCTGATCACAAAGTAAAGCTGTCATCCATATTGCCAATGTGTAAGCTATTCACTTCCAACCAAAGCAAACTTGTTTGAAAATGACTCTGAAAACTACCTTCTCAGGATATATCAATTTTCTCTTGCACAATAAAGCAAAATTACTTCAAATTTACTAAATATGTTTTCAGGTCAGAGTCAAGAGAACTGAACAAATAAGTTGTTATTGTCCTTACAATTTATCTTGAGTGAAGCAACCTAGGTAATCATAAACAAGTATTTTTTTGGTCTCAATCCCAAATGAATAGTGAAACTCAAGATAAAAACTGTGCTTTTACGTTCTTTCTTTCCTCCAACCCCTGACACAATTCAACATATTTGAAAAGGCTTGAGTAAATAGATTGAATGAAAACTACACACCTGTAATACTCATTGCCTCTGCTGGCCTTCAGTCCTTGTCCAGTTCTTAGGTGAGAGTTGCAGATTTAACAGAACTCATGCAAAATGTCAGGGAGCTCAACATTTTCCTCCTAGGCATGACAGATAGGCACTGAATCACTGGAATCTTTATCCAATCATAAACATCCTCTTTGATAACCAACAAGTGCTCAGAGCTCCAAAGGTCATTTTTTTTTCCTGCACAAAGGGCCTTGATACTAGCTAAAGTTAAGGAATTAGAGTCTGGCCATTTCAATTTAAGCAACTTCCTCTTAACCTGCTGAGAAAGAACTGGCAGATGAATTATAAATGAATGAATTTAACATGAGTGTATATATGAATTAATAAAGAAAGAAGCTATTTAGATCTTTTGAAATTATGAAATGCGAGTATTCAATGCTTTTAGCTAATCCTGCCCCTGTATAATATAAACTAACAATATAAACCAAAAAGGACATATTCATATGTAATTTTTGTCATATCCTGATCACCCCACCCCAAATATTCAATAGATATATTTATTAGGTAAACTATTGAGAAATTATAGAAATATAATAATATCATTGATTACAACTTTTAAATAAAATCTAAATCTCTTAAAATATTTTCCACTCAAGCTAGAAAGTGCTAGATCTCAACTTTTTAGATAAAGAAAAAGTGTATTTTTTATACTTTCATTCTCTTTCCAATTTTGGCCAAAAAAAAGGATGTAATTTCTTTGACACAACCTCGTTAGATGAATATCTATGAGAATTCTTTGTCATTTCTCCTAGAATCTGGGCAGCCATGACTTACTTGTAAATATTAAACTGCAGAAGGTACTACACATGACATTCAAGAGCGAATCAGAAAAGATAAGGCAGCTTCTGTCTTTCTCACTGGTTTACTTGTGCTCAGAGCCTGGAGCACCCTGTGAGTGTGCTACTGCTACTACATTATACTGTGCTCATTCCTGTGCTGGAGAGGTCTCATGGAGGCACTTTGATTAACTACTCAACGAAGTCTCCACTAATGGCAGCATCTCACATTCATGCGAGAGGCATATTGAGCATCTAATGATTGCAGACTTAGTCGATATTTGACACTCCAGGTAAGAATTGTAAAGATGAGTCTTTCCCAAATTCCTGACTGCCAAAAAATCATGAAAAGGGAAAACATTTTATTTGCAAATTTTGGAGTAACTATGGCTGTGGAAAGGCAGATGAAGGAAGAATGGATTCAGCATGCAGACAAGCCTGATGTCTGTACAAGAAAATATCCGAATACCAACCAAAGAAAGACAGAGGATGATGCTGTTAGAAGGTACATTGCCATTGATAGAAGAGAAAGGAGTTCAGTCAGCCACTGAGAGGGGCTGGCACTGTGGCGCAGTCTGCTAAGCCTCTGCCTGGGAAAGCAGTGAAGACTGCTCAAGTGCTTGGGACCCTGCATCCATGCGGGAGACCCAGAAGCTCCTGGCTTCAGATCAGCCCAGCTCTGGCCGCTGAAGCCATTTGGGGAGTGAACCTGCAGATAGAAGACCTTTTTCTCTGCTTCTCTCTCCCCCTCTCTCTTTGTAACTCTGCCTCTCAAATAAGTAAATAAAACCTTTAAAAAGGATCTCTGAGAATTTTAAATCATTAGCCTAGTGAGCCGTAGCGCCGGCCTAGGTATTGAGCTTTTCAAAAATTCTTTTTCTATATGTATTGAAATGTTTATAAATTTTTCTCAATTATTCTCTTAAAATGGTGAATTACTTTGATTGAATTTGAGTGCAATCTGATCTGTCATTCCTGAAATAAACTTCACTTCTTTATCATGTATTGCTACTATACACATTGCTAGAATAAACTTTCCAGTATTTTGTAAGTTTTAAGTATATTTCCATAGGAATTGATAAAAATAGTGATTTCTTTAGTTAAGCTCAAGTTATTTCATTATCAATTCTTTGATTACAAATAATTCAGAGGATTTTTTAAGATATTTTGCTATTACTGCTTTTGATTTAATTTCACTGAAGTCAGAAAACACATCCTACTATATTTAAGCCATTTGAAATTTTTTTGAGTTATACTGTGGTGCAGTAAATTGTCTATCCTGGTAAGCATGTGAGGTACATTAGAAAAGAATTTGCATTCTGAAGTTGTTTGAATGCTCTATAAATAGCAATTGGACTAAGTTGGTTGATACTGTTATTGACATCTTTTATAATCTTACTGCTTTTTAGCCTACTTTTCTGTCAGTTATTGTAAGGAGTGCTTAGTCTCCGTCAGTAATAGTGGATTTGTCCATTTCAGCTTGATCTTTGTTTTATTTATTTTGGAACTTTGTTTTATTTATTTTGTTTTATTTATTTTTGTTAAGTACTATGAAATTCCATTCCGTTAGGCCCAAAATTTGGAGTCATTCTGGACTAATACCTTTTTCTCATGTCATGTATCCAAACTGTTGATTCAGTTTCTGCTAACCTCAAATATATCTGGAGTTCAATTATTTTTCACCATCTTTACTGCTACCACCATGATCTAAATTACCAGTACCTCTCTCTTGAATCACTGCAAAGTCCCCTGCTGGTCCCTTGATTTCTTCCCTGACCAGCTTACCATCCATTCTTTTCACACTAATTCAGTCCATGGCATTCCCCTGCTTAAAATGCTCCATTAATTTTCCATATTTCTTATATAAAACCACATTTCCTTACCAATGACCCACAAAGCCCTACATCATCTGCCCCCATGTACTTCCAACTTCATCCTCTATTACTCACTAAATGGGATCCAACGGCTCCCTTGCTATTCCCAGTGTACCCCAAGCTCAATCCTGCCTCAAGGCTTTTTCATTTGAGTTTCTTCCCGTCCAAAAAAGCTCTATTCCAACATATCAGCATAGCTATCTCTCTCTTCTCCTTCAGTCCTTTGCACACATGTCATTCTGTTTAAAATTATAGTACCTATCTCTATTCTCTTCTCTCCGTTATTTTTCTTTCCATTTCACCATCTGAAATAATATCTGTTACTTATTTATTTATTAGTTATCTCTTTCACCAGAATGTAAGCACAATGAAAAAAATATTTCTGTGGCATTTGCCTTTGTATGTTTCTCAGTGTTTATCAGAGAGGACAATTTTTGACACCTAACAGGCATTCGATAATTGCTTGTTCAACAAACAGTTTTTTCTAACAGTGCAGTGGTTTTCAATTCTGACTCCACATAGAATCCTCTTGGGTCCTTTCAAAATGCATTGATTAGCAGACTGAACTTTTTAAGCTTGTGGTCAGGTTATAAGGAAGGTTTAAAATCTCCCCAGATGACTCTGATCTGTATCGGGGGATAGATGAGGGCAGGTGGGCGGTGAGCCTACCAGTCTAACACAATGCCTAGTCTCTGTGGGCTATTCAGGAAATGAATTAAATATTGACCTGAATGTGCACTCTATCTACAAGTATACTTCTTCTGAAATAATCTCAGCTTCAGTTTTTCTGTAATATACAACCAGTACCTCCCACAACTTCAAAGGATTACATAAGAAAAATTATAAAATGCTTTGTAAACTATGGGGCAAAATGAGAAGGCCATTGGTTTATTTAACTGCTATTGTATTCTTGAGTGAATTTGAGCTGCATGTCAAGGAGACTAAGATTCTACTCCTGGTTCCCTCATTTCAAGGGTTATGTGACAATGGCCAAATCATTAATTTCTTTGGGTCTGTTTTCTTCATTAGAAAAAAAAAATGAGAAAACTGGACTTAAAGCTCTTTTTTTTAAAAAAATTATTTATTTAAAAGGGAGACATTCAGAGACAGATGTATTTTCCATCTGCTAGTTCTCTCCTCAAATGGCTGCAGCAGCTGGGGCTGCGCTAGGCTGAAATCAGGAGCCAGGAGCTTCTTCCGAGTCTCCCACATGGGTGCAGAAGCCCAACTACTTGAGCCATCTTCCACTGCTTTTCCCAGGAGCATTCTTAGCAGGTATCTGGGTGGGAAGTGGAGCAGCTGGGATTCAAACCAGCACCCACATGGGATACTAGCAGTGCAGGTGGAGACTTAACCTTCTATGCCGCAGTGCTGACCCTGAACTTGAAGCTCTATAAGGCCTTGTCCATTGGATACTCTGTGATCATATAGCAGTTGAATATTTCAGCACTATTTGTAACTGCCTTTATCTTGCTGGATGAGAACTGATTTAGAATTTTCTGATAGACACACATATTAGCAAGCTGAGAAGACAAAAAGCAGAGACAAGCAAGACACTTTAGCTCATTTCCCCTAAATAATTTGCACGTATTTTATTTTAAAATATTTGTTACAATGTATTTTATGATAAAGACATACATTGCAGGCCGACGCTGCGGCTCAATAGGCTAATCCTCCGCCTTGCGGTGCTGGCACACCAGGTTCTAGTCCCGGTTGCCCCTCTTCCAGGCCAGCTCTCTGTTGTGCCCGGGAGTGCAGTGGAGGATGGCCCAAGTCCTTGGGTCCTGCACCCCGTGGGAGACCAGGAGAAGCACCTGGCTCCTGCCTTCGGATCAGTGCGGTGCGGCAGCTGCAGCGCGGCCAGCCATGGCGGCCATTGGAGGGTGAACCAACAGCAAAGGAAGACCTTTCTCTCTGTCTCTCTCTCTCACCGTCCACTCTGCCTGTCAAAAAAAAAAAAAAAAAAAAAAAAAAGACATACATTGCACTATTTCAATAACAAGTTATCGTCATTCTGCTTTCCTCTAGACGCACCAGATTTGGCAAGAAAGCAGAGAAAAAATGGCAATAAAGAGGGAAGCAAAGTCTTCATTTACAAACCTCCAGACTGACATGTATAGTGTTAGTAAAATATTAGTCACTAATATTTAAATGTTTTTCAGTATAATTTTGCTGTGCTCTCCTTCTCTCTCAAAGTCATCTAAAAACGTGTTCTTGTGCATAAACTACATCAAGTCTGTGTTCTGCCAAATCTACAGTCAGCATGAAGAAAGGGATCCAATTAGAAGCTAATTAACATTTGCTATCATTAATTTCTAAGCCCACAAATCCCAGGTGGGACTCAATTTTAATTAATAAAGGTCAAAAATTTTGACTACCAATTGTTGTCAACAGAATGCGTCCCTTGCCATGACCTCAGTCTCTCAGTAAAAATGCCAGACAGTACCGCAGCTAATAGACTTTTCTCCTAGGACCCAGACACATCTTCTTTCAGAAGCTGCTATGCTTCACAAATCTCAGTTAAAAAATAAACTTGGCCTTTTTAATCCAGATTATTATTTTGCACATTAATTCTCATTGATTCTCTCATTCGATTTTGAAAGATATTATAATTTTTCAAAGCTGTTAATTTTAATCACCACCTTTCTAAACTCAAATGTTCCAGGTGATGATGTATATGCCTTCCAAGCATATAATACATATCTATTTTCTTTCTTTTTTAAAGATTTATTTATTTATTTTGAAAGTCAGAGTTAAATAGAGAGAAGTAGAGACAGAGGGATCTTCCATCTGTTGGTTCACTCACCAGATGGCCACATGGCCAGGGCTGAGCAGCTGATGCCAGCAGCCAAGGACTTCATCCAGGTCTTCCATATGTGTGGCAGGGGACCCAAGCATTTGGACCATCTTCTGCTGCTTTCCCCAGGCCATCAGCAGAGAGATGGATAGGAAGTGGAGCAGACAGAACATGAACCAGAAGCCATATGGGATGTCAGTGTCACAGGTGGTGGCTTTATCTCCAAGGCACAATGTTGGCACAGTTGCATTTCCATAGTCTCCTATTTCTTGATTTTTCTGATTTAATTCTTTTATTCGCATGTGAATCCATTAGTCTTCATAATGTTCCTATCAAACTTTTTTTATTATTTTAAAGATTTTATATATATATTTTAAAAATTTATTTTTTTCTTTTTCTCTTTTTTTCTTTTTTATTTGACAGGCAGAATTAGACAGTGAGAGAGAGAGACAGAGAGAAAGGTCTTCTTTCTGTTGGTTCACCCCCCAAATGGCTGCCATGGCTGGCGCGCTGCACCAATCCAAAGCCAGGAGCCAGGTGCTTCCTCCTGATCTCCCATGTGGGTGCAGGGGCCCAAGCACTCAGGCCATCCTCCATTGCCTTCCCGGGCCACAGCAGAGAGCTGGACTGGAAAAGGAGCGACCGAGACTAGAACCCGGCGCCCATATGGGATGCTGGCGCCGCAGGCAGAGGATTACCAAGTGAGCCACAGTGCCGGCCCCGCGATTTATTATTTATTTGAAACAGAGAGAGAAGGGGAGAGAGAGAGAAAGAGAGAGGTGTCTTCCATCCGATGGTTCACTCCACATTTGGCTGCCTCTGCCAAAGCTGTGCCAATCAAAGCCAGGAGCCAGGAGCTTCTTCCAGGTCTCCCACATGGGTACAGGGGCCCAAGGACTTGCGCCATCATTTACTGCTTTCCCAGGCCTTAGCAGAGCTGGGATCAAAAGTGGAGCAGCCGGGAATGGAATTGGTGCCCCTATAGGATGCTGGCACTGCAGGTGGCAGTTTTGCCCACTACACCACAGCACCGGGCCCTATATATTTATTTTAAAGGGGGGGGGGAGAGAGAGATTGGAGGGAGAGAGATAATCTTCTATCCACTGATTCAGTCCTCAAATGCCTGCAGTGGTGCACAATGGCTGGGCTGGGCCAGGCCAGGAGCTTCTTCTGAGTCTCCCATGTGGGTGGAAGGGCCCCAGAACTTGGGCCATCATCTTCTGCTTTCTTAGGCCATTAACATGGAGCTGGACAACAATAAAACAACCAATCCAGCTTTGAAATGGGAAAAGAACTTCAATAGACAGTTCTCAAAAAAAGAAATACAAATAGTCAACAAATATATGAAAAAATGGAAAGCATTACTAGTCATGAAGGAAATGTCAACTGAAACCAGATGAGATATTGCCTCATCCCTGTGAGAATGTCTAAAATCCAAAACAGAGAGTAACAAATGCTAGGAAGCATGTGGAGAAAGGGGAACACTTATACACTGTTGGTGGGAGTGTAAATTAATATAGTCATTGTGGAAAACAATGTGGAGATTTCTTTAAAACCTAGAAATAGACTTGTCATTTGATCCAGCAAGCCCACTACTGGGTATATACCCAAAAGACTTGAACACAGTGTATCAAGGAGATAGCTGCATTACCACATTCATAGTAGTACTCTTCATAGTACAGACAAAATTTAGAATCAGGAGTGGGTGCTATGGCCCACCGGGTAAGGCCACCACCTGTGGTGCAGACATCCCATATGAACTCCATTTCCCATCGAGGTTGCTGTTAATGTGTGTGGGAAAACTATTGAGGATAGCCAAAGTGCTTGGGTCCCTGCACCCATGTGGGAGACCCAGAAGATGCTCCTATCTCCTCCTGTTGTATGGGTCCAGCTCAGATTCTTGTGGCCAGCTGGGCTGTGAACTAGTGGATGGAAGACCTCTTTCTCTGTTTCTCCCTCTATCTCTGTGTAACTCTGCCTTTCAGGTAAATAAGTAACTATTTTAAAATAAATTGGAATCAACCAAGTTGTCCATCATAAGATGAATGGATAAAGAAAATGCATTATATAATGGAATAATATATATAATATAATATATAATGGAATTATAATTAATAAAGGAATATTATTAAGCTATAAGAAAACAAAATGGACACAACTGGAGGACATAATGCTAAGTGGAATAAGCCAGACCCAGAAAGACAAATACCAAATGTTCTCCCTTATATGCAGGAGCTAAAATTTAAAAAACAACAAAAAAGGAGAAAAAATAAAGAAAAAAATGTCGGTGTGTATCAATATTGCTGCAAATATAGTTTTGTGCAACATTGATTTATACTTTTGTGAAACCAATGGTTAAGAATGCTGCACTGCTATAGTTTTAATGACCTGTGATTAATTTAAAATTAACTGTATATGGGTTAAATGGTCATTTTTCTATTCAATTATTGTTTATAGCCATTGTCCATATTCCCACTAAACTAGGGTCTTCCTGCTTATTACTTGTTAAATTTCTTATTCAGGGAAATACTGTAAATTTAAAATATTTTATCTCAAAAACCAAAAAAAAGAGGAATGAAAAGGAGAAGTAAGAAGGGTGGGAGGGGGGCCAGTGCTGTGGCCTAGCAAGTAAAGCTACCACCTGTAGTGCCAGCTTCCCATATGGAGAGTGAATCAGTAGATGGAAGACCTCTCTCTCTCTCCCTCTCTCTCTCTCTCTCTCTGCCTCTCTGTAATTCTGCCTTTCAAATAAATAAATAAATCTTAAAAAATAGGGTGGGAGAGAGTGAGGGAGGGAAGAAGGGAATATCACTATGTTCTTGGAATTGTATCTAAAAAGCACCTTGAATCTGTTAAAAACTAATTAAAAATCAAAACAATAACAATTTTTTGTTTTAAATAAACAACAAATAATACCAGAGATTAGTATAAAATTATTTCAAATTTCAAGTCTCCTTTATTTTTGTAAATATTTTTAGAGAGGGGCTGGTGCTGTGGCATAGTGGGTTAAGCATCTGCCTTTGGTGCCTGCATCCCATATGGGCGCCAGTTCAAGTCCCACTGCTGCACTTCTGATCCAGCTCCCTGTTGATGGTCTGAGAAAGCAGCAGAAGATGGCCCAAGTGCTTGGGCCTCTGCACCCACATGGGAGACCCGGAAGAAGTTCCCAGCTCCTGGCTTCAGAATGGCCCAGCTCTAGCTGTTGTGACCATTTGAGGAGTAAACCAGAGGATGGAAGATCAATCTCTCTGTCTCTCCCTCTCTCTGTCTGTAACTCTAACTCTCAAGTAAATATAAATAAAGAATTTATTTTGAAAGAATTACAGAGAAACAGAAAGAGAGAGAGAATCTTCCATCCTCTAGTTCACTCCCAAGATGGCCAGCCCTGCATCAGGCTGAAGCCAGGAGCCAGGATTTTCCTGAGTCTTCCACGTGGGTGGAAGGGGCCCAAACACTGGGCCATCATCAGCTGCTTTTCCTGTGTTGTAAGCACGGAGTGGTATGGGAAGTGGAGTAGTCAGGGCGTGAACCAGTGCCCATATGTGATGCCAGCATGGGTTTACATGCTATGTCATAACGCTGGACCCTGCTTTAAAAATTTTCTCTTTATCTTTCATTTTCAGAAGCTTGATGTTGAAGTGACTGAATGTGGTTTTCTTTTGTGTGTGTGTCTTGCTTGGGGTTTGCTTAACTTCCTTACCTTCTAAATTGTTTGCCATAATCCAATGTAGAAAATTTTGCCTAATATTTTCTGCTTCAATTATTTTTTTCTTCTCCACTCCCTTTCCATTCTTTCTGGACTATATGCTTGTTCCATGGATAGAATGCTGTCACAAGTTCATTGAGGCTCCCTTTGTTTTTTTCCAATGTTTTTTTTTGTTGTTGTTGTTTTCCTGTCTGGTTTAACTGGAATGATTTCTATAGATCTGTCTACAAGTTTGCTGAAACATTTATATATATATATATATATATATATATATATATATATATTTGCAGTACATTATAAACTATATCCAATGGCCCAAGGGATTTATCAAAATACTATTGAATCATTTTATACTTATTTGAAAGGCAGAGATAGACACAGACAGAGCTCATATCCCCTGATTCATTTCCCAAACACCCACAATAGCCAGATCTGAGTCAGGGCCACAGCCAGAAGCCAGGAATACCATTTGAGTGCCCCATGTGTGAAGTAAGAATTCTGTTACTTGAGCCATCCCTGCAGCCTTCCAGGGTCTGCATCACCTAATGAATTTTTCACTTCACAGCTTCTATTTCTCAGTCCTAGTATTTCCATTTGGTTCATTTTTATAGTTCAATATCTCTACTGATGTTTCCCATTTCTTCAATAATTCTATGATATTTTTTTCTTCTGGATTCTTTAAGATGTTTATTAAAGTTATTTCAAAGTCTTTGCTAGTTCCAACCTCTGTAGATTTATTTCTATTGACTAAACTTTTCTTAATTTTATTTTTTTATTCTTATAACTTTATTTATTATTAAAAGTTTTATTTATTTAAAGGAATAAATTTCATGTATTTCATATATACAGTTTTTTGCTTCATCTTAGTTATATAAAGGGAACAAAACTTATGTATTTTATACATACAGTTTTAAGAACACACAATTTAAAATTTGTGAAACTGGGAAGTATAAGATGATACTTGTAGAGAATGGGAGTTCTGTAAAAGACCTCTGAACAGAACCAAGACTTATCTAAGAATGCAGTTAAATTATTGTCAAGTTACCTTGATCTCATTGAGGCTGCTTATTTTACATCCTATTAGGGAGGAGGTGCTTTAGTTTTGATCTTAATCCTGTCATGAATTCCTAAATTATAGTAATGTTTTTGTCTTCAAATCTGTGTACTCTTTGGAGTTTCAATAAAAATCCCAAGATGTTTAACAAGTCTATCAGGAATCTAGGCACAATTTGGCAGGTTATATCTTGCTTTGGACTTTTGGCTTTGGACCCGGGTACTGATGTCATCTGAAAATTCAGCTGTGCAAGTGTGGATGGCACTGGTGTTAAAGATTCATTTTCAAACTTATTTACATGGTTATTTTCAGAGCTGGGACCCTTTCACCTGGGCCACTGCATAGGACCACCTCATGACATGGCAACTGGATTTCCCGAGGGTCAGCAAGGCAAGGAGGAGCTAAGGAAAGAACTCCAATACAGGAATTTGATTTTGGAAATGACATTGCTTCTGCCAGTCACTTTTCTTTATAACTGAGTCAATGAATACAGGTGATGCATAAAATTTTACAAGGAAAGCAAGACAGGGGGTGGATTTCTTTAGGGGCTATCTTATAAGATGTTTAACAAACTGTGCAAGCTTTCACAACAAAAATATGGTAACTTATTATCATTGGGTGCTTGTCTCAGTCCATTTTTGCTGTTGTTATGGAATACCCTCCTAGGTAATTTAAAAAGAACAGAAATTATTTTCTCACAGTCCTGGAGGTCATGGTGCCCACATGTTGGGCCTGGTCTTTCTCCTTCTAAGATGACACCTTGATGGCTGCATCCTATTGAGGCAGGCAATGCTGTGTACCTACATGGCAGTAGATCATGGGAGACAGAATCCACTCTTGTAAGCCCATTTCATTGTGGCATCAGTTAAATGAGGGTGGAACCCTCAAGACCTAAACACCTTTGAAAAAGACCTACCTCCCAACAGTGTTGCATTGGGAATTAAATTCCAAATACACAAAGCTTGGAATATGCATTTAAATCCCAACAGTTGTTATTACTATCCTGTTGATCTTAGACATCATTCTCACATAATCCTTAAGGTTGACAAAATTAGTTTCAGAAGAAAGATAATCAGGACAAAGAACTTAAGTAACTAACAGGATGAAATCACAATTTTGATGTTTTAAGTTCTCTATCGTGTAATCAAGGGGGGACACATCCAGAGGGCAACTTTGCCTGTTTTTACAGATATCAGTGTAATCATCATTTTCTCTAGAATTTCCCATATTCTTTAAGATTAAAGTGGTACACACTTCAGTTTCTATTTAGATTTCGATTGCTGCCTTATTACAGTCCTTAGAACCCTGTATTGCAGTCACAATTGTACTTGTCTGTATAATAACTATAATACAAACCCTTTGGGGACAGATGTAGTGCCTTTCTCATGATTGCCTGTCTACGGTTTTCCAGTAATGTACTAGGAAGTGCCCTCTTCAGGGTCAGGGATGTTGATTTCTAAATTCCTTGGAGGGCAGTCTGTCTTTTTTTTTTTATAAATATAAACATAAAATAATATGGATATTTGATGAAAAAAGGGGAAACCATCAATGAGAGGTTTATAAAGAACAAAGGACAAAGGGAAAAAGGACAACTGTCTTCTTTGTAACACTCTTGTTACCAGATTTCCTCACTCAATGGGAGAGATTATTGAGTCTTAAAATGTATCTCCAAAATGAAATGGCAAGAAGAATTTTCTGGACAGGTTGCACATTAGCAGGGTAGTGAATCAAATCCCTGAGTCCTCTCCTTACTGACTGAGCATCCCTGCTGGGCTGGTTTGAGAAGCCGTGACAGGCATTGTTGGACACTTCACGAAGGTCATTTGTGATAGTCAGTAGTTAATTTTCTGATTTACAGCAGTTGTGTTTTTTTTTTTTTTAATTTGAAGATGATGATTCTTTGGTGTACTTTGGCTTTTCACTTATTACATCCTTCAGGGTTGCTGGGGAGGACTGTAGAAAGCCTTTGAATGACAATATTTCAGCACTTTTTCTGAGCATTGAGGAATACTGTCACTGGGACTTTTGGAGGATGGATTATTTTCTTGGCAGGTAATGTGGCCTCCACAGGGCTCATTAGGCTTTCTGTTGGGAAGATCTAAAGTGCACAGTTGAATACTGTCATAAAAAGGGGAAGTGGTTTGGGTCTAATTCCTAAAGGAGCTGCAAAGACTATAGCTCCTTTTGATCTCTGAATTCCAAATAGGCCTTTTATAGTTGTCATAGTATTGACTGCTCATTCCAGAGCTATGATTCTCTTTCTTTCTAAATCTTTCATGCTCAGAATGTGATTCTGCTGCTTAGTATTACATGAACAGATTTGGCACCCTTGTGTATTTAATAATAGCAATGTTTCCTTCTAATGGGCTCTGGGTGTGGGTGTGTGTGTGTGAGTGTGTGTGTTTGAGAGAGAAAGAGAGAGAGAGAGACTGAGGTTGTGTGCCGCAAAAGACCTCTTCTTTGCAGGACACGGTTTCTCTGGTCAAACATTCCTGCATCAGACTCAGTAGTCTTCTCTCTCTTTTCCTTGTGTAATCACAATATCCAACAATTGATCCCTGACAGAAATCTCGATGTGTGATGTTATTTGATGGTGTGTGCCCGAGGAAGCAATTTCCTGCTGTTGGTAAAAAGTGATTTGCAAATTTCTGTGAGCATGAAAGCTCGGATCAATCTCATGATCTGGATGATGACAGAACTACAGTATTGACAAAGATGAAATGTTTGCATCTGGATTAGAAACCAGTGAAAAGAATGACAAGGTATTTTATGTGTAAAGCAATCATTTGCTTCCCATTAATAACTATTTCATACTTTTTAGAAAAATACAATTTTAAGGGTGTTATTCTACTCACTCAATAAATCTCATATTGTGTGTTTATTTATCTTTTCTTTTACAATTAATAATCCAGTAAGAAATGAACACCATAAGGATTTGAGTTCAGTTTATTATCATAAAGCATTAGTTATATCCATGTCACAAATGGAAATGCATACAAGATTTTAAAACAAAAAATTTGGCTTAGGGAAGAATTTTAGAAATGGTTTTAAAATATTCAGTGTTTGCTTCCGTTAC